AGGGATTGACACTTTGCAATCCCTGTACTCGCGTTCAGGGAGGTCGTTTCCGACGGCCCTTCTTCGAACTCAGCGGGTGAGTCTCGTCATACTGCTCGACGAGACCCAGAGCATCAACAATAAGCTGGGCACAAGGATCTCAACTGTCCTAGGCCGGTGGATAGACACGCCATCGAACGAGGTAACTTGTCCGGACGCCATTCACGACGCGCTGTTTCAAAATACACGCTAATAGAAAGCTTTGACTACCGCCAGAATTCATCAAAGAAAATGGTGGTGGCGAAAACACCTGATCCGGCTCGAGGGTCGGATCACTTGATGTTCAGGAGCTGAACCGTGTAACGGAACAGTTACACGATGACCTGGCTCATGAACGGACTCGGCGTTATGAGTTAAGGATCTCGAGAGGGATGGTTATATTTCTTAGCGCACGATCGTTCGGACGATCTTGCCCCGTTTGTTTTCGCGCAACTTGATAACGAACGTTGGACTCGTTCTCTTTGTGACGAGCTGGCTGTAGCTCGTCGAGACATCGTTCAACTGCGTGATCGGGTCGCTTCGCTAGTCACCAGACTGGCTCGTTGAAACGGGACCACTCGAAGGTGGTCTCAGCTCTCGACCACGGAGGTGTTCTATGCATCTCGAAACGGGCTCGAACTGATAGTACGGGCGGAGACGACCGACGTAAAACGTAGGATGCGTACGCATCTTAAGTGGCAGTTCAATCGTGTATGCGTTGCCCATTCGGCGCAACACACGAAATGGACTGATGTACCTGGGCAGTGATTTGCTGCTGCCAACGTTCGTCACTGCGTGTTTCGGTAAGTTAACTGTAGACTGTAACATTAAGTCTCCTTCATCATGTGGAAGAACATTCGCTCTTCCACGTTTGTCTGCGTTTTTTTTCTGTATGTCCATTGCATCTGCAATCGAGTTTTGAACGAAGCGGACAACCACTTCGCGAGTCAGCAGAAATTCCTCTGCTAATTCATCCTTTTGAACAGCAGTGCGCTTTGTGTGCACTGCTGAAAGAACGTTATCTTCACCAGTGAGGGCGTCTTCGTCCTTACTGTGGCAGTTATTGGCAATGCTGAAATATACCAGAATCGTCGTCTTCGTCATCATCGATATCGATTGCATCGACATCGGTATCCATCACGTTTACACCATTGTCGACGGGTGATGAGCAAGAACCAGATCGGCTTTTGTTCGAGCGAGTCCACCCAACCCTTTTTCTAAAGTCACAATCTATGAGGGCGGGTAAACGTGGATGGCATTGGCCATTTACGAAGAACGGTGTATGCGTTTTTGACGCGTGCACCGAGTTGTTGATGGCGAATTCCGCTATCGGCAAGAACTCACTTCAACTTCTAAGCGAGTGGAAAGCCCTCGAAGTATCTCTTCGAGGAAGCGGTTGACGCGTTCCGTATACCCTTCTGTTTCTGGATGGTCAGAAGTCGACATCTTTAAACGTGCTCCAAGTGATCGGAACACGGATTGCCAGAGCTTTGCTGTGAAGCGAAGGTCCCTATTAGACACGAGCTCACGGGGTAACCCGTGAAGTCGGAAGATATTATCGATGAAGACAAGAGCACATTCTGAGCTGTGATTGACTCCGGTACAGCAACAAGACTAATCATCTTGATGAACCGATCAACAAACACAAGAAAACCGGTATTCTTGTGAGCGTCTTGGAGAAACACGAAGACGAAGTCCATCGATACGGACTGTCAACACTCTGCCGGAATCGGTAGAGGCTGCAAGGGTGAGCGGGATGAAGGACTAGGCTTCACCCGTTGACAAACTTCGCAAGCGCGATAGCATTTGCGGACAAACCCATACTGGCGGGGCCAGAAGAAGTCACGACTTGTTCTGAGGTAAGTCTTTTCCCGGCCGCGATGCCTGCTTTTTGGGGCATCGTGACACTCACGCATGATGCGCAGTCGCAAATCATCATGAGCAGGAACGACGGCACGACTTGTGTCGCCGTTGACTTCTGTTAGTACAGCAGTCCATCACGAACCGAATGCCGTTCGGTTGAAGAGCAGTATTGAGACGTCAAGCTTTTCAAAGCTTGACTGCATGGATTAGACACGTAAATCATCAATCGCAGAAGAGACTAATCTTCTGCTTATGCTTTCCGCACGTCGTCAAGCAGAATCGACGACGGAATGCTCACTAATATTGTTGAACCAGTGAGATCACCCCTACTGTTGTGTTGAGCAGTCGGCTCCAAACCGGGCCGACGTGAAGGAGTATCAGCGAAGACATTATGTCGTCCTGGTTTATATCGACGAAGAATTTGTACTCCGCGAAGAAGGACAGCCACCTCGCCATTCGTTGCAAGAGGTGTGGACTGGCTACGGCCGTGCGTAATGACGCATGGTCGGTTTAAACGATGAAGCGCCTATCTCCTAAGAGATACACCCGAAACTCAGACAGTGCATAGTTCATGGCAAGTAGTTCCTTGGCATGCACTGGGTAGCTACCCTCATCTGCTTGCAGCTGACGCGATTGATACAGACGACGCGCTTAACGCCGTCTGATTCGTACTGCATTAACGCGCAGCCGATTGCAAAATCGCTGGCGACAGACCACATGGAATGGTCTGTCCTGTTCTGCAATCGCCAACACAGGCTTCTGTATCGAGATTTTATTAATACCTTCACATTAGTGCTGACACTCAGCACTCCATGACCACCTCATGTTTTTCTTTAGCAGACGAAAGATATATACAATCATCTCGGCGTGTTTGCGTGAGTATTTGTGCAAGTACGCCGCCAAGCCAAGAAACTTTCGAAGTCCCATGACGTCGACTGGCACGTGCCAGTCGATAATCTCCTTGATTTTTTTTTGATCAGAGCGTACGTCTTTTACCCACGATGCAGCCAAGAAGTGGTATTTCGTTCGCTGCGAAAATATACAATTCTGAGGATTCGAAAACAATTTACGCTCTCGCATAAGTGTAAGGACTATCCGGACGTGGATTCTATGAGCCTCCACGTCCTTCCTTCCATCCATAGCCTGGCTACGGATGAAAACATCGTCAAAGTAACTCGGTACCAAATATCGCACCGACCGCAACAGATTCGGAAAACATCTGTTGAAAGTTACAGGGGTGTTACGTAGCCCGTTCACACATGAGGATCTGAGAGAATTCATCCATCAGATCCATAAACAAAAGGATGGTACTTTTGCCATACCATCAATGGTGAAGTCCTCCCTCGGTACGGCGTCTGAGCCGGTACCGTTTCAGCGTTCTATTTGTGGAGCGCGTGCACTATCCGCCACCCTCCTGTGGCCTTTCGCACACAGAAGGTCAGAGAGCTGTGTGGGGATGTTGATTCCCTCACATTACCAGCTGCTAAGCGATCGGCAAAGAATTTTTCGATCGATGTGACCTGTTCACGAGGCAGTGGCCACCGCTTCATGACACAGTAGTTCGAACTGGGTTTCAGCTCAATCTCATGTCGAGTGCCTTTGTCCTTAGGCACCTCGCAGGGCACGGATTCAGGGTTTAAATACCTGAATTCAACCAAATCCTTATACAAAGGATTTGTCTTCAAATAATTTTAAGAATGAGACGTGTATCGCTCAATCCGGGTCTTCTCATCGAGGACACTCTCGTCCATCGATGAGCTACTGAGAACCCGTTCGTCCTCAGTAAACACTTGTGCCGACCGAATATCGGCGACGTAGTCGTCCTCGGTGACGAGTACGCAGATCTGCTCGATCTTGTCACTACGCAGATCTCGCAAGAATCGTTTAGATTCTAGCTTTGGCAACTCGATTGCCTCCGAAGCTGACTTCGGAGATGTAAATTAGATCAAGTGTATTAGAGCCTACACTTAATTCTTCGTTCACCAAGACATTCACAATCTCGGTGATTTCCTGGGAAAACACATACGCAGGTGGTTGGGGATCTATACCCACAACCTAACTCTTTCGGGAGTTATCACTCTCAGAAATACTGGAACTTACTTCCATTACGTGTCCTGACTGTAGGTGTACTACCACAGTCACGTCCTCTTCGATCGACTCTCTTCTGTCGAGCGTGATTTCTCTACGACCGACTCTCTGTTAGTCGATCTTGCTTCAACGTGTTGTTCGTCCTGAACAACACCACTCTCTCTTCTCGGATGCACCCTTCTTGGTGTACATCCGTGTTCCAGTCCAATCGATCTCTTTGAGTGGTGAAACTTCGGCGCAGCCTGTGTCTCTACACAGGTGCCGGAAGCTGGTTCCACAGTGTAGTGGCCTTCTACACTGTGATCTTGTGCAATCTTACTAACGACCGTACCACAGGTGAGGCTATCGCACTCACTCGTAGTACGTTTACACGCTTGTGGACGCTCCAAGACGTTCATCAAACGGTCATCTGATGAACAAACGGCAGGCATCTTCACGGATCAATGCTTCAAGCTGACCCATGGCTGGTACTTTCTAAGCCATGGCAGACCGAGGATGACATCAAATTTGTCATCCAAATCCAGTAGGATAAAGTCATCATCGTAATGCTTTCCTTCTAGCGTGTAGTGGATTCTCACTACACTTTTGTTCACTGTTACGGATGCGCCTGTAGCAAGGCACACCGTCATCCTCGTTGGAGGGAACTCTCGCTCAACATAGTTAAGCCTACTATCCTCTAGCGACTGGCGTCGAATAAAACTGTTCGACGTCCCACAGTCAACTAGGGCGCGAAGTGACATTCCACTTGTCACTTTAATCTTCAAAGTGATGAGAGACTCCTCATCACTAGGGACAGTAACACACAGCGACTGTGTGCTGGGATCAATCTTCGTCTGGAGTCCTGCAAATTCTCTTGACGTTGCTGGTTCAGCAGGGTACTCCGCCCCTACTGACCCTGTCAGTTTTTTTAAGGTCCGACAAGCTGTCGCGACTTAGCGACATGGTCGGACCCACGCCTAGGACCTTTCCTTGGACAACGGTGTTCATCACGTCTTGTCTTTGGACGTGTGGCGGTGCTTAGGACACTACACTCATGAGCGTAGTTCCCAATCTTCTGAAAGCGATGGCATCTTGCCGTTCGCTTGTGACTCAGAGAGCGTGAGTTCTCGCTCATGATATAACAGAGGTCTATTGGTTCGGGACCTCCTGTTTCCTGTCGTCTCGTCGGACGATAGTTTGACGAGTTAGCCTGAGACTGTCGCAGGCTGAAGTCTTCTTGTTCCGCATACGCTATCGCCTTTTCCAGCAAATAGAAGTCCTCTTCGAACATGTAGGTCTTCACCGACACACCCACAAGGCCGTAGATGAACACATAGATGAGCGTGTGCTCATCAACAGGGTTTTCCGTGGCGCTACTCGCAAGGTAGCGTAGGTGTTGTGCGTAAGCGTGCACGTCATGCTTACCTTGCTTTAGCCTCAAGAGTGCAGAGCGTGCTCTGAACTCAGCTCTCGTCGGCTCAAATGTCTCTTTGAGACGAGACTTACGGATATCCAACAACTCAAACACGTTTGGGTTGTGAAGCTTAATCCCTAAGGCCCAAGTCTTTGCTCGTCCTGTCAAGTTTGACAGGGCGAAGGTGACTTGCATCTCGTCACCCTCGATGTGACGGGCCCTGATGGCATCATCTAACTCGACGAACCATCTCAAAAGGGAATCTTCATCGGTTTCCTTGTACCTTGAGATATCTATCTTCAAGGTTTCGGGTCGACGCATGTGCGTCGGCCCGCCCATTGACTGATGAGAGTCTTGCTGTTGCAGCAAGGCTACCTTCTGTCTTTCGACGGCAAGTTTACCTTGTAGGAACTTGTAGATAGCGGCATGTTGCTGGTCTCTGCTTAGAGACTCCAATATACCACTGATGGCGGGTAAGCCCATGATCACACTCATGCGGTCGAATACCTTCCATTCTGATTCACTCAGATGGGAGTAGCCTTCACAGGTGACGTGAAAGCTGTCGTCTTCTACGTCCAACATGGACATGTTGGACGGACACTTAGTAGTCGTTGGACGGACTACAAAGTGCTATCAGATGTAACTGGACACCCTTTGTCCAGGTGCCACGAAACTTCACGTACACTAGTACATGTAGAGGAAGCTAGTCTACGCAACGACTAAGCTGAGTAAGGGTAATAAGAGAACTGTATCTAACATAGTTAAGCTATCAATATAACTTTTATCTTTATCTAACTACACTAAACTACGTCGTCGTATGACGACAACCGGCTCACCACTCATTGCGCGCGTCTAGCAGCGATTGGTGGTAATCTATGGTTGAAATGTCTAATGTCAACCGATCTTGGAGCAGCGCCTGCATATTATCCAAAAGGGGATAACAATCCTTCAATATCATCCATCTCGGATAATATTGGTAGGATATTGTCATGCTAGACAATATCTCTATTGACACCGTTTGGTGTCAATATCATGTTATGGCCTACCCCGTTACATCTAGAGCTTGCTCCCCTATCTCATCACAGAAAAAAACTCTGGCCATCATACCCATCGCTGCGTTTATCAATGAAAACGCCAAAGCAGATGCCATTTCTGCGATTATTCTGTCACGTCTTAGAATTGAGTTCAGTGCTGCGGAGACATGTGAAGTATGATTTCTGCCCCCGCACTATTCCGAGATGCAAAGCCCGATGTCGTCGTCGGGCCGAATCGGGCCGTGCGATCGTTACATATCGCACCGAAACGATCAACATCGATGCGTCGTCCGTTGTGACACGAAACTTATTGGACAACAACTTGACAAATTATGATAGTGCGTCAATGATTTTCGATCTGACGCATTTCCAACAGAAGAAGTGCCGGATAAACTGAGCCTGTGCTGGCAGCTCAAGGTTCGTGAATGCATTTGCGAGCACACTTGTCGTAAAACCAATATAGAAGTACCACCGCGACTGAAATTGTTAAGCCGTTCTCAAGAGCGTCCACTGCAGTAATGAGTGGATACAAGCCCGTATTGTTCGTCACGCGACGGTCTGCGCGCCAGACAAAGGCACGTTTCATCACCAACATTCTCATAAGAATGGCCGTCGTTGTTCTTGAATCCGTTTGCACCTTTGCTAAGAACAGGTGACGCTACAAACTCGTTCAGTGCGATGTGACTGCTACTGATAATGCATACTGACCATATGTGAATACTATTTATCGTTCATGACACGTTCGACAGACTTGTATGTGGATTCATTATCGCAGCCCGCAAGGCGTGATATTGTCTTTGTGTTGCACAGACGATAGCATGTTCATCCTTAAGAAAGACAACAGATGCGCCAAGTTGGAGGACAATGACTCCGACCCGACGTTTCAAAACATTTTGGAGCCAACAGCTGCAAATATCCAGCGATGGGAGACCGGACCTGCGTCATGGAATTGGCGGTGGCGTTGCAGTCGCTTTGACACAATGCAACGTATTGCAAACCTTGTCGCAAAAATGTTTGTTGAGTCGAAAGAGCCGACGGCGCGCGATCGATCACGATCGCCACCAGCATCTGAATCGATTTTAAGAAAACTTTTGGCGTCAAACGGGTTGGCGGCAGCTTTGATCAACCCAACTTCCGTCACGCCGAATCTTATCAAGTCGCCATCCTATCCTCCACCTCCACAACCGAGACCACCTTCCCTGCCAAATTGATCGTAGAGGGCGCACGAAGGTACCGACCATGAAGAGAGAATGAACCTTAGTCAGTTCGGTACTTGGTTTCGGGAAGTCCTTTCTATTCCTTCGACGTCGTTGGGTGGCTCGTCGAAAGTCGAAGAGTTGTTTCACAGCATCGCGCAACATGCAAAGGTCAAGATCGTGACCGACGTTGATGACTTAAGTGGGGCCAAACAGTTCCTGGAGACGCTCAAAGACCCAGTGCAATTAAAAGCCTTCCAGAAGCTCTGCATGAGTGGCAAGTCTAGAGGTAAGGTGGCTGCTAGTCTAGCGGGAAAATATGGGGATGCCGCGATGGCTTTTGCGCTTTGCACGAAGGCCTTGCCCACAAAATACGAAAAAGCTGCATTGAAGTCCGTGCGAGACGCGATGACCGCACGTTGGAAGGCAAATTCAGAAATCACGCCGGTCACGATTTATAAATGGATAGCACCGACTTTACCTATCGCAGACGAAGATCTCTTTAGACCCGCTGTCACCGAGATCTTGTATGGGAGTAGTTCCGACGACAGGATCGTGCACGAGTTTCTATGGACTCATCTCGAGGAGGACTACGTTCGAATTGGGCGGGTTCAGTTTTCTGCGGCAGTCGATGAACGTATCGATAAACAAGCGGCCCAGAAGTTTACCAACTGGTTGAATGAGGTGCATCCTGGATTCGCAGTCCGAAAAATCCCGTCCCCCAGGCTAACTGGCTGATGCATTTTTTTTAATTTTTAACATCTTTGCAATACATTTTCTTTCGGGCGGCTGACACCTACAATTAACGCTTTGAAACGAGTAAAAATGCGTACTCAACGTCTTTATACGAACCTTTACCGATCACTATGGTACGTCCTGGAGCGATGGCAACTGTAGTTCTTGTTGTCCGTTGCCATTACTCGAATGCCAACTCGTCCGTAGCACGATTTTCTTTCGTACCTGAGCAATGATGTGTGCCACAGGTTTTCTAGAACGCGATCATTACTTGCGGTAAATCACCAAAGTATAAGAGTGGATTTGTTTTGATGACGCGTAATATCAAGCATTTGCGAATTTACGAATGTGAACCCGCGCCGTGGAACGCATGGCGATAGAGGTTACGATGCTAGTAAGCGTGACGGCCATCACAGGAGATCTGTAGATGTTGGTAGTACGGCGGTGGGGATGAACCAACTTTTATTCGCCTAGCATTATCCGGAAGGCTCGCACAATTGTGTTGACAGTAATGCTACGTTCATACCTCGCCACATTTGAGTATATAAAGATGTTAGTTAGATCGCAAGAGACGGTTATAACGGAAGTGATGGTGTATGGTGCTTTGATACGACAGGCTCACGTAACGTCAAATTGATGTGTTTTTGAAACCCAACAGAGTTACTACTCACCGACACCAAACGAAGATTTGAACGTCACTAGCGCTCACGGTTCCAAGTAGACTCCGAGAGAAAAAATTTAATTCTTAAATCAAAATATCATTAATATAATCATTATTATTAATAGATGAATACAATGACAACGAACCGATGGATATCCTCCCATGCGTTATCATCGTCTCGTCTGAATAAATATCGTCAGATCTTATCATTGTCCGGGCCTGCACAAACAACCCTGGGGCAAGAACTGGAGGCGGTGTAGCGTCTGCTGCATCGAAGCCAATGACTGTCTTATTATAAAATTTTCCCATCCAAGTGGAGTGAAGCTTTGAGCTGGGTTACGATTATCATACTTTGTCGCCTCTTCGAACACGCTTTAGTGCTTGAAGCTACATTACAACTCTCTCTGGTTGTCTTCCAGTGAAGTCGTGTCCAGTGATCTGCGAGCTTCTTTGACATTGTCGATAGAACAGCTGTGAGGAGCCAGCATTGCAAGCTGTCACTTCACTTCCACTGAGATCGCAACCACCATTTCACCACATACGATCTCGTTATCGCTAAAAAAAGTGGTGTAGTTTTGTGTGCATTATATGACCAAAGTGCATGGTACATTACATGGTTAGCAGCCGCATTCACTTCGGTGTAAGCTTCTAAAGCTGGTACCATGGGTATTCTATCGAAAATATCAGCCCTGGCGCCAGGAACTCACGTTGTCGAATTCGTGAAGACGCATGACAGATCAGTCTGCATTTATCTTTCTTTGACAAGCAGGTAGCTTTGCATACGACGCCCTTTTTATAGCTTACTCCGGTAACTAGTATCTAACAAAGTATCTACGTCTAGGAGACACCGACGACACCATCGTGTTGTTTCAACTCGAATTCAGGCGCTTATTGCATTTACCGCTAAATAGGGGCCAAATGTCATAAACTATGCGACGCCGCGAGGCACCACATACTTTCATTATAGGCGACAAAGGCGTTTTAAGTAATTATAGTCCCAACCGAACGCACAGTACGAAAGAGTTTTCGACCAAATTGTCGCGACAAAATTAAGAGGTGCGCATCGAAAGAGATTCGTAGATCAAAGAGTTCAACTTCTGCTTGTTGGGTTAACCGGCTACCTTTCGCTTCTTGAAAACTGCAGCTTTTGCTTCCTTTTGACACTTGCCCTCCACTTCGTCGTCTGATTCGCCATCTTCGTCCAACAAGTCCATTTTGACTTCCTGGCGGTTACCGAAACCAAGAGCTACATGCACTTTGACACGCACACGGTCAAAAACCTGCAGCATGCGGTTATTCTTCTGAACCAACGTGAGCGAGTGGCAGGTTGCATCATAGCGCACGACACCCTCGTCATCTTGCTCTCCCTTGTCACAGAGGAAAATCATGCCCTCAATACCGAAACTGGGCAACATCACTCCCACGCCATTGTTCTTGACCTTCGTGATCACGGCGTCCGTACGTGTGGGATACTGCTTAAAATACAGCACTGTGTGCAGAGTCACTGAGGCTCTACCGGCGAGTTGAGCGGCGTGGTGGCGCCGGTTGAGCTGGTCACTGATCTCGTGCAGATGGGCCTTATTCTCAAGGTAGTCTGGAAGCGGTGCAACCCCAATGGCAGCGGCCAACAAGCGGTGGACAACTACGTCGGCGTAACGTCGAATCGGTGACGTAAAGTGCGTATAAATAGGCGCTGCTAGACCATAGTGATGGTACTCCGGGGGCGCCACCTCACCTGAGCTGAAGTAGCTCGCCGGCATCATACAGCGCGTAGTCATGATACGCAGCAACTTGTTAAAGTACGGATTTGACTTATGGCGATGCTTCCGTTTGCCATTCGTACCGCTTTCTTCGTTCCCAGTAAGCACGTCAGCGGCGTCTAACGAATCTTGGAGCTGCTTGGATGTATCCACGTGCAATTCAACACCAATCGCTTTTGCCTGACTGCAAAGCAGATCAAACTGGCGTTTAGAAGGTGCAGGATGCCGTCGGAGCATCGAAAAGGTCGGAAAATGACGCACAATCTTCTTTGCCACTGTGATGTTTGCGAGAAGCATAAATTCTTCTACAAGAGCATTGGTATCACGAAGGGTGTACATTTGCACATCCAATGGATTTTGCGTTTCCGTGTCAAGCACAAAACGCACTTCAGGCGAAGCCAGCGTCAAAGCTCCCGCCTCAATTCGCTTAGCACGCAGGCGTGCTGCAATTACATGTAGTGTCTTAATGCCACTTCCCAGCACTTGGCGACGCTCGAACTCCTCTTCAGTTTCGACCTTTTTCGTCGTTGTCAGTTTCTCGTCTTGCCCAAACACACCACCAGCGCTAGGATCGTCTAATAGCTCTTGCGCCTGCTGGTACGAAAGCGACGCGACCGAGCGAATAAGACTCTTGCAAAATGAGACGTCGATGATCCGCACTTCTTTATTACCGACCAGCTGCATCTCCCACAGCACGCTAAAAGCAAAGTGGTCTTCCGTAGATGTGAGCGAGCAAAGCTTGGTCGTCAGCAATCCCGGAAGCATGTCGAGGCGGCGGTCAACAAGGTACGTTGATGTTCCACGGTCAGCAGCCTCTTCGTCAAGGGGACTACCGGGCGCTACAAAATGTGTCACATCGGCAATGTGCACTCCAACTTGTACATTTCCGTTCGGCAGGAGTTTTGCATGCAGCGCATCGTCAATATCCTTACAGTTAGGTGGGTCAATACTCATAACTGCCAAGTCACGAAAGTCATGACGTCCTCTTGAGTTTTCAGGTGTAATTTTCCAGTCTTCCGGCGGTAAACAGCGCATCACCTCATCACTGAACTGGTCGCACGGGATGCCATGCTCGATAAGCAGCACGTTCGTTTCTGTCTCCTTGTCACCAATGACACCAAGCGTGCGCACATAATGGCCCAAAGGAAACTTGCTGTCCGAGGGCCACGAATCAATTGCTATTATTAGCCGTTTGTCCATGAGCGATACCTGCTGTCGTGTGCGAATCATAATCTTGGGCACTTTCCGATCCACAGGCACTACCAGACAGCTTCCAGATGCGTTAAATGCCGCCCCATCTCGTGGCGGCTCCAGCGATCCGCAATACTTGCGCCAGTTGCGTTGAATGATGCTCACAACACGCCCAGTAGGCTTCACATTCTGTGCAGCATCGTTCTGCACCAGTGTCAGCTGATCCGGCGATATCGTAGGTTCAGCAACTCCAACCAATGGAGGTTGCTCACTCTCTTTATCGTCATCACACTCTTCAGTATCCGCCGCGACAGACGTGTCATTCACCGCAAACGAAGTCGAGGAAGCTTTCCACTGCTCTTTCGGCAACAGTTCGATGGCAACCAAGTCTCCATCAATCGCTCGATTTATGTGTTCCCGACCTTGCACCAACACTGGCATCTTCACCCCATTCTCTCCACAAATCAACACATGACACTCCAGCCAAAAGTCCCGATTGCATCGAATGGTGCCCTTAAACAACCTCTTATTTGTGATCCCAGCAAGTACTTCCGCTACCGGCAAATGCTCGGGATACACTTTCTTCTTGCAATCACCTCCTCCTGTGCTGCTCACTCCTTCAGCTGTAAGCTTCTTGTCTTCTGCCGCCGCCACTGAGGCCGAGAGCAAATCGACTAGTTCAGGAAATTCGCTGGCCACAGGCGTCAGAAACTCTGCTATCGTCACTCCTCCTGCAACGCCGTACTTTTCCGCATTTCTCAAGTCCTCCGCGTCATTGGCCACGAACTGGACTCGGACCTTGTCGTTTCGCTCGAGCTCTTTCAAATGATTGGCGTACCACGTCCAAGCAGTGGCTACCGCTCGTTCATTTCGCTCGTCTTCTGTCTCGTAAGCTACCATCACCTCCGAGTCCGCCGTGTACTCTTGAGGCAACATCTGTTTCTTCTGGACAAAACACGACTGATGGTGCTCATTAGCAAACACCACAAAGCGGCGATCCGCGTTCAGGAGCAACGCGCGAAGGCGATTGTAGACGCCCAAGTCCTGGCGCTTGACGTATTCCCACACAGTCTCTAAGATCAAGACATCGGCAAAGACCTCGGGCGTGTCCACGTGCGTCCTTTTCTTGCACGAAAACTCCAGCACGTCCATCTGAAGTAACACCGTCTTCATTGACGGCAACAGATACACCCCTTCTCGTGGACACTCAGCTAGTAGCGTCTTCATTGTACCCATCACGTGCGTGGCTGCTGTCACGTCATCGTCGGTGCTACACAACGAGCAGCTGGGCAGCGAGCAGCTCAGATCGTCGCGGAGATAGCGCTCTCGTACTTTACGCACGATGCGACCGCGACGCGTGGCCACGTTCAGCTCGTCCACGCACCAGAGCACCGGCGTCTCGGTCTCGATCATGATGATGGAGTCACGAATGGGTGGGTGGTGGGGAAGGTGATGGAGTTTTGGCCAATTGGAGAGGAGGTGAGTTTTAGCGAATGAACTGGCAGCATGCTGCGCTTTGATCACGACACACGTGTTTCGTGTGGATACCCGTGGGTGCTGTTTTTCGGGAAAACATATGGATGTGAGATGTCAGCGGCAATCTGGCATAATAAAGTGCTTTTTTACAAAAAGAGACCATCACCTGAAAAATGCGTGATGATGGTTTTTACGTGCGACAGGATAAATGCGGCTCGTGACAGTCTCTTGTAGAAGTAGACAACGTAGGCGAGTACGAGCAAGACGTCGTTATAAAGAGTAAATAAGATGCAATCGTGCAGCACCGACCATCGTAGCGAGATAATCTATTGATTGTCAGTGTATCTCTTATATGCTAGCGATACTAGCGATAGGTAGAAGGCATCGTGTAAGCAATTGCCGAACATCGGGTAGAATGGCATTGGAACCTACGATTCCACATTCCGTCGCTGGGTGAAGCAATGACACTCATTTCTTCGGAAGTGCAAGTGATTCGTCGCGTAACGACCTCCTGTAGACGATGCAATGGAAGCCAAGCAGCAGTATGGACCATCTGCAACCCTGCGCGCATACACGAAATCATTGCACACTATGTCTGCTCTCCGCGCCTTGTATTTCGGTATAAAATGTACTCTTGCAGAAGCCGTAGCAAATTCGTTATCTGCCATACCGATCGCGTTCTCAGCACAAGACGCTACGAGTTTTAGACACCCACAAGAATGCGCTTTTTCGTCCTGCTTCCCTCAAGCAAGTGCGCTTAAAGAATAAATGCGGTGATCAGCGTGACAGTAGCAACAACGAAATCGCTCTCTGTAAATGCTGCAAGAAGCTCAGTCAACTGCTCAAGCGGTAGATTACCAACGAGTGTCCAAATGTGAGCACTCGACTATCAGTCGTTCGTACACACCACGGTGTCGTGTGGGGCACGAATTCGACCAATCACAATCTCTCCACCACCCTCTGCCCAACTCATCACCACTCGCATAGGTACGAACCCACGCACCCATTTCTCGACCAACGGAGCTATTCGGATAATGACGTCCGTCGTCATCACGGACTTCCTCCACTTTCTGGAAGACCCCGACGTGGCCGTGGCCGTGGCGGTCATCAAAGCACTCACAAACGTCATTCTGCATAGCGAAGCTAGCACAATGATGCAGATGGAGGGCGAGCTGCAGGAAGCCGCGCAGCAGCTGCGCACGTTCCAAGCTGCCGACGACGCCCCACGATTCCACCATTCCATCGCGACGACCGCGAGCTGCCAATTGTTTCTACGCTACGTGACTCGCTGTTTCTTGGAGTTTGACGACTTTGACCACTGCCGGTCGCAGCTCATTGACCGGGGCAAGTTGTTTGCCAAGACGTCGCTCTCCAGTCGCCAGCGCATTAGCGATGTGGGCCACAACTTCATTCGCGACGGCATGGTCGGTCTGCGTCTTTTTTGGGGGTTGGAAAACACACAAGCGAAAACACGCGCAAACGCGTGCTTTTTCATGATGTTGAATTGATTGTTACGGTGTTTTTTTTATTAATGAATCAAACATGGTGGTGATTCGTGTTTAACCTGCAGAAAGTGTTGACGCATGGCAAGTCCCGCGTTGTCATTGCACTCCTGCGGGAAGCTGCGAAGACCAAGAACTTTTCGGTGTTTGTCACGGAAGGAAGGAGCACTGCATCTGGGTACGTGGAAACAGATTGAGCAATTTACGATTGGACTGTTGATGCTATTGTGTCGGTTTATGATACAGGGTTGACACAGCAGAGGAGCTGGCTCAGGTGGGTATTCCGACTACGGTGATCCTTGACTCCGCCGTCGCATATTACATGGAGCAGGTCGATATTGTAATTATCGGAGCTGAAGGCGTGGTTGAAAACGGTGGAATTGTGAATTCGGTACGACTTATTGTTCAGTTTTGAGCGATGGAAGACTTGTGCGTTCAGTTGACCTTGTTTTATTCTAGATTGGTACGTACTCGACTGCAGTGATCGCAAAGGCTCTGAATAAACAATTCTACGTGGCGGCGGAGAGCTACAAGTTTGCTCGTCTCTATCCGTTGACCCAACGTGATGTCCCGCAGAAGCACATGGCTGCTATCACTGGCGACACTGCTCGTGGTGGATCAGCTGGAGAGACGATGAGCGGGGTAACGTTCATGAGCCCATTCTTCGACTACACCCCACCTGGATACATCGCGTTGATGTTTACGGATTTGGGTGTCCTCACACCGTCAGCAGTTTCGGACGAATTGATCAAGCTATATCAGTAGCTACTTACGACTCAGGCGGAAGCTCAATCCAGGTTTTGTAGTAATCCTTGCACATCAGAAATCGTATGGGTGCCGCTTCTTCACGGCTCCGCTTCCTATTTATCCTTGTTGCTCAGTAGGGCTGCTCACAGCTATACGTCTTCAGCATTGGAATGCTTTTGGCCGCTGCGTGTCGTGCCATTACCTCGGTTCGTGCACCTATGTAGGCATATTTCCTGGTCGGTGTATCGGGACAATTGCAAGGAACGAGAGCTTCGTCAGATCTTATAGTAGGGTCAGAGCACCCAAAACATCAATCGTCCTCGTCGCGTTTATGACATCTGCATTCACGACTCCATTGGAAGTTTATAGACTTAGTCGTTGGCGTACCACGCGCAGCCTTGGTATAGCCATAAAAACCAGTCAACTACGCTGGAACATTTCAAGCAATGTTGGCCCGTTCAGTACTAAATTCTAACAATACCGCCAAATTCACAACCCTGTCGCTACCTAAGCTTGCAAACATGATTAACGGTGTCGACGTCCTCAGCAAGCGTTGAGTCTTCTGCGTGTGCAAAGCAATAACATCAGCACAAATTGAGGACGGCAAGACTTTATCCTCACGCAGCAGCATCGTTGTAAAAACCTGACGCTGAATCATGTGAGATTTTTTTGCACGGCGTCAGTCTCAGGTGCGTACGATTTACCAGCATTGCTCATTGCGAAGATGAAGCAAAGGTCTCGAGCCATGTTCAAGTGTTGTCTATTGCAGCTTTCAAGAGCTCACTTGATCGAAGCGCTTTGGCTCGAGGCACGAGTTATTTGAATGTGCTCAGAATCCCGAACAAGGCATGTCAGGCAGCGAGCTTTATAGTCATGGCGTATCTCTTCAATTGGTGCGCTTGCCGATGCAGCGTTCGCTTGCAGACCTTATTACTGCTTCAATAACGTGCATCTAGCGGAAATGAAAGAAGTCAAGTGTGTTCTTGTACGTCGCACTACTGACGAAGAGCACTTGCTAGGATCATACCCGTCTCTGTTAAGCATGTGCTGCTTTTACCCGTCGAGAGTCATGTACAGTTGAATGAGATGAGTTATTTGTGCATTCTTGAGCTGCTGGATATCAGCAGCTACATCAACAGCCACATCATCCAGAAAGCTCAGCCCAACCAAGCAAACGTATCGGTCTTTAGCATGGCTGTTGTTTGGGCGCAGCCGTAGCTCACAGGATTGCAGCCTTTGACTTTTCATTTCGGATTGTGACAACTACCACTAGCTGCTGCTATTCGTCGCGTACCAGTTCTTTGTAGAGCAGCAGTTGCACGAGTTGATTTGCAAAAGGTAGGGCAGAGGCCGAGTGTACTCGTCATATTTGGCACAAGTCGTGAGCTAGATGAAAAACGCATAACGTCGATGCCTAGAGCCGAAGCAAATGAACTCTGAGATCTGGGGATGATAACCCTCTTCAGCTCACTACGAAGCTAGATACCGGCTCAACGATGACTTGTGTAAGCTCGTTGAGCTAAGCTCTGCTACCGACGTAAGCCGTCAAAATCTGTTTGAGCAAAGGGCCAACTTGTTATCACTCCAGCCATTTAGTAATGGTTCGATCAATAGCGGTAGACCGTTCACTATTGAGATCTATGCTGCAACTGTACCTGCAGTAGCGTCAACACGAATTGTGATGAGGTTTTCACGCTCAAAAAAAACAGTGAGCCTTGTGATAGTTGAAAAACTACTATCTAGCAGCTCCTGAACTTGCATTTCAAACTTGGCTACTAAATGCACCAGTCGAATTCGGTTTGGCCCTGAGTTTGAGCTGTCGGGCAGCAGTGCACTTAGCGGAGTATCAAGGAACACAATCACGCTGGCCTAGACGCAGTCGGGGCCCGTTTTCGGGCCCAAAAGGGAATGATTGGAGGTACGAGTGTGTACCACCAACCCTAGTCCGACGGCGACTGTTCCCAGATAGTTTCGTCTCAGCCATCCTTTTAAGAAGGGTTTCGAACTTTTAAGGAGCAGTCGTAAATCAGACTTCTCCGCCTCTTCGCCAATGACCAGTTGCGTTTCACTTGGGAGAGGGGGCATTCTACCTGATTCTACGCCATTCTCGTCACCAGCCGACGCGTCGTAGAAAGACGCATCGCTGACGAGACTGGAATGGCTGTCCGTGGAGCACTCACTATCGCTGGATAGAGAGCGCTCCAGGGGCTCCCAACCCGGCCACCAGAAGCGCATCAGGATGCGTTGGTGTAAAGCCGGTGCAGAGGTCAGAAAGGCGAAAGGAAAATCGAGCGACAGATGAAACGGACAATTAATGAGTTTAAAAAGAAGCAAGTTCATTGTAGTCGGCCTCACGAGGGTTATGTGTTAGACACTTGTAGCCTTACTACTTGAAATGGTCTCAGTAACAGTGCTCCCTCGAAGCTGTCTGCCACTTGGGACATCCAACATCCTTGGAAAGCAGACGCGGGAGCGCCGACAAGTACAGCGAATTGCCAGCAATCGTGGAGGCCTGGATCCACGCCATTAAACGCAACATGGCCTCACCGCTTGCAGCTACTGAATTGCTAAACGGGGAACACATAGAGAGCGCGTGCCAGCGACAACAGCGAAATTGACAAAACCTCCAGTAAGAGCGCATCGCAGCACTCAAAGCAACCTTGTTCGGGTTCGTTGCGAGAAGGTTTGCATCGCATGTAAGTAGGGGTGAAAGCAAATAGACTTGCCGATCGACAATCTTGCGAAAACTGCTCCATTGTTTCAAGTGTGCCATGCTTCCACACAGTTTCCATGAAGTTCGAGATGAGAAGGCGCTTTACACCAGAATTGTCATGAGCAAAGAATCGTATAAAGAGACTCGGCATCTAGTAAAAACATAGCTGTACCGGTCATTCATTACTCTCCTGTTGCAGATTCGGGTCTTCATTCAGAATCAAGTTATCTCCACCAGGAGACCTGTAACCTGTGGCCCAACTCGTTCGATCAAGTATTATTCATAGTGCAGTTGGATTAATTTACACCCCGTGCCGAAATTCTGTCACGTGTGCACCCACGATTCAGGTTCCTTGACTACTCCAATGGTTCGTCCTACTCCAATGGTTCGTCTGCTGCACCGGAATCCTTACAGCAGAATGCGACAAGGCTTCTTTTAAATCGTGTCTGTTTTCTCGTGTCGCACCGAAAAGCAAACGAGTGCTTGCAGCTTAACATCGCCAATAAGTTCACGCGGGGCGTTCGACACGATAAGACACACCACGTCCAGCGAATCATACGGAAAATATTCACCACGTGCGTACGGCTTCTAGTTGCATAGCACTGCATGTAGTAGCTGCGTCCACAGTTATCTGACAGCCACTGCGTCCAAGTCCATACAATCAGTCGGTCCTGCACTTGACCAAAGAGCTGCAACAGCGTCCGATTGGTGTATTGTGAGGCCCGCGTTAACCTGAGAGAGCACCATCCAGCGTAAAACGGTGGTCACAATTGTACAAGGGACCTCATCAGTTGTTTGTGCTGCAACAGGGAGAACCACTTGACTCATCAAAATGGACCTAAGCCCCGAGGCGTCGGGCTTTAAGCTCATTTAATCTCAGACTGGACACTCGCAATTACTTGTTGAATATTGCCAGCACAGAGGAAAAATGGTACGGTTACAGGTGCATAAATGGCATCTGTAAACGTCAATATTGGATGCCAATAATGTTGTCAAAATGATTTGTAATCGGTCAACAAATGGCGTAGGGTCGTGCTAAACCATTCGAAGATAACATGCTGTCACCGGGTACACAACCTGTCACCAAAATCTCTCTCTGTACCTCGATATCGAGATTCTAGTGTATCACTATTGTACTAGAGCCTACGGTGGCGCTGTCAGCTGTTGCACCAGCGTCGGATAGCTGTAGATTATTCTTGCTTGGTAGATAGAAGGTAAATGAGGAACTAAATGTATCGGAGCTTATCAACCTACATCGCCCTTGTGTCCATTATCATCGATCGCTTCACAGTGGGTCCCAAGAGTCGCTTCGCCGTCTCCGAAGATCGCTTCGCCTTCTCAGAGGCACGCAGCCGTTCAACACCAACGGCGTCCTTTCAACAATAGCAGCGTGCTTGGATTTCCCCCTCATAATCCGATACCTGTCAATAATAAAGTTACACAGGTCAGAGGGGTCACACACGAGCAGTGGTCATGAGTCAAATGGCTACATTCCCAATCGGCCAACGTGGTGAATGAGGACCGACGGCAACAAACGTCCCGCCATCGACTTGACGCTATGCGACGCGCCTCTCAAGCGACAGCGCGCGTTCTACGAAGATTCCGACAACGACGAAGACCGCGACGTCCAGGAGAAGAGCGCAGCGACCACAGCGCTGGACTTGATCCAACAGAGTCGACGACGTCTCGAGACGTCCAGCGAGCCCTCGTCATTGGTCAAAAAGAAACCCCACAAGCCATTTCCAGGCCATTTTTTTCGTCAAAAACCATCAGCTAAGGACTCTCCTGAGGCAGCGGATCTACTTGCAAGTGCAAATGACAAAGTGTTTGGCAATCAAGGCTTTCGAACGAACCAGAGACAGGTGATCGAAGCCACGATGCGCGGTCAGGACTGCTTTGTGCTCATGCCGACAGGAGGTGGCAAAAGTCTGTGCTACCAGCTGCCGGCCGTGCTGTCCAAGGGCGTGACGATCGTCGTGTCGCCGCTGCTGTCGCTGATACAGGACCAAGTGACGGCCTTGGTGCAGAATGCAAAGTGTGGCATACCTGCTGCATTTTTGACGAGTCAGACTGTCCTGACGCTCAAGAGGTCCATCATGGCTGAACTGAGACGACCGATACCAAGTGTCAAAATGCTGTATTTGACACCGGAAAAAATTGTCAAGTCGGACGAGATGATGGAAGCACTGCAGACTTTGTATCGCAATGGAGCACTCGCGCGGTTCGTGATCGACGAAGCGCACTGTGTTAGTCAATGGGGACACGACTTTAGACCGGAATATAGCCAGCTGGGGTTGCTCAAAAAGACTTTCCCAGATGTCCCGCTCATGGCCTTGACAGCGACCGCACCGCCTAAGGTGATTCAGGGTGTGCAGCGCTCGCTGCATATCTCAAAGGGATTGGTGTTTTCAATGAGCTTTAACAGAAAGAACCTCACATTTGAGGTTCGTGAGAAACCTCTCGGCAGCGATGCAAAGGCCATGGACGCACTGTACCAGCTCATTTCGACGACGTATCCACCCGATGCGGTAGGTATCGTGTACTGCATGACGAAGCAAGATAGCGAAGATGTGGCGGACTACCTATTCGACCGCGGACTGAGCGCTGACTTTTACCACGCCGGGCAGTCGGCAACTGATCGACACATGGTGCAAGAAGCGTGGCAGAATGGGCAGCTCAGTATTGTCTGTGCTACGATCGCTTACGGCATGGGCATTAACAAGGCCGACGTGCGCTTTGTGATCCACTTTTCGGTAGCCAAGTCCATTGAAGGCTACTACCAAGAAGCAGGGCGCGCGGGGCGAGATGGTGAGCCATCGCAGTGCATCATGTTCTACAGCCCGCGCGACGCGTCCAAGTTGCGCAGTATCCTCTACATGCCTCAAAAGGGCATGACCAAAAAGACACGTGCCGTGCACGTGGAGAAGCTCCGACTTATGGCCAAGTACTGTGAGGACGACTCGACCTGTCGTCGTCAGCAGCTCATCTCGTACTTTGGCCAAAAGTTTGAGCGTTCTGAGTGCAATCGAACGTGCGACAACTGCCGCCGTACCCAGCGCATCACCACGGCTCATCCAAGCCGCTGATCGTGCAGATTGATGAACAAGCCAGTAAGTGACACTTTCTTCTATTTGCGTTGCACGCGAGTTGGTTCAGTCGTTCCATTGCTTTTTACACTGCACACACTTGTAGAATGTCGTGGACGGCTCATCGGCTGACCGGATCTGGATCTGCATGAAATACGCTTTGGTAAACTCACAGTGGGGGCACCGAGCTGGTCATACACACACAGAAGAAAGAGACGGACAGAGACAGTGTTTGAGTGGATCGAGACGGCATCAGGCTCGGCATTTCCGTGCAGCAACAGGCGCGTAGCTCCACGTACTTTCGGTCTGGTCAACATTCTCCCACGCCTCGTCACCGCCTAGCACGTCGTCCACTTGTTTGCGCTGGAGCGGCACTTTTTTCTCCACCTTGTCATGAATCTGGAAGAGATAGGGACACGTCTGGCAGAAGAAGCGCATGCCGTCGGACTGCCATTAATTTTACACCCATGGACACACACAGAGACAAAGGTCGTGATGAGGTTAGTAGTACAGGAGCGACTGAAGAACTGAAAGAAAGGCGCGGACTACGCACGTCAGGCTCAACGAGCAGGATGTTGCCGCAGCACGGGCAGAAGTGCATGACGGCTTTCAATGAATGGAGGCACGTCAAAGTGTGGACGCACTATTTTAGCCAATCCGATTTCGAGTTGACTTGAGATTGTCAAAATAGGGGTAGTTTGGTATTGACACGGGTGTCAAAAATGACGGCAATGGTGTACGACAGTTGGGGCAGCCCGGCAGACCGCTTCCATGGCTCCATGTGTCTTGGCATTGATCTAGGCACTACTAACTCGTGTACGGTTGTCGTCTCTCTCTCTCTTGCTCGGTCTTGATCGGTACCGAAAGAATTAATTTTTGACGTCTTTTGTACCTACTTAGGCGTCGGCATTTGGCACGTCGAGCGCAATCATGTCAAAATCATGAAAAACCGCAGAGATCGAGGTCGTACAATGCCTTCCGTTGTGCATTTTGACCCTCAGAGTCAACATGTGGATGTCGGCAATGCTGCTGTGGAGTTTGAGACGGAACCACCGGTCGGAAATACCATTCGCTCGATCAAGCGACTACTTGGTCAAAAATTCGTCAGCAAAGCAGTAGACGTAGCCAGAATCTATGCACCGTATAGCGTGGTGCCTACAGCACAAGGCAATGTGGTACTGCAGGTGGTTCGTGGAGGGAAAAAGGTACAAGTTCAGCCTGAAGAGGTGGTGGCAAGTGTCCTTGTGGAGCTCAAAGCATCGGCAGAAGCATATTTTGACGGTCAGCTGAGTTTCGACAATGTGGTGATCACAGTTCCAGCTTATTTCAGTGATTCCCAGAGAAAGGCGACGCTCACGAGTGCATCAATGGCTGGCTTTAAGGCTGTGAGGCTGCTGAATGAGCCTACAGCAGCAGCAATGGCTTACGGGTTGTTTCTTTCCGGTAAAAAACTCGTGACAGTTTTCGACTTTGGAGGAGGAACACTGGACGTCTCGTTGTTGCGCATTGAGGATGGCAAGTTTGAGGTATTGGGGATCGGAGGTGACACGAGCCTGGGAGGAGACGACATCGATAACGTGTTGGTGGATCATTTGATTGAGATGCTCGATCGACATCACAACGTAACACGAGCTCAGGTGGGGGATGAGGACATGGTGAGGCTAAAAAGAGAAGTGGAGAAGGCAAAAATCAAGCTTTCAGAAGAGGAACGCGCGGTTGTTACGGTGGACATGGCAGACGTGCCTGGGATTACGTACACGCTAACAAGACGCAAGCTGGAAGAACTATGCTGTCCGATCTGGAAAAAGTAAGCGGCTAGGATACATCGACTATGAGGTCATAATACTTACAGGTATATGTTTGATCTACGTAGGTGCCTTCGGATCGTATCAAGTGTGCTAGAGGAAGCAAAGGTAGAAAGCTCCAACGTTGATGAAGTCATCCTCGTAGGAGGTTCCACCCGGATTCCGATTCTGCGCCAACAGATTTCTGAGGCTTTTGGTGGTAAAGTACGTTGCGGTTTATTGTTGCCTTGGTTTTACTTTCTTGCTTACTAATATATGCGCCTTAGGAACTTTGCATGTCCGCAAACGCAGATGAGGTAGTGTGCGAAGGTGCTGCTATCCAGGCAGCCATCTTGTGTGGCGTGGATCAGCGCGTGCTTCGAGACGTGCTCATGATGGATGTCCTTCCGCTACCCATCGGACTCGAGACAGCCGATGGAAGCATGGAAGTAATTCTTCCAAAAAATGCACGCATTCCGACAACGGTGACGAAGTATTTTCAGACATACGAAGACAATCAGCGTGGTCTTACTGTTGAGGTGTACGAAGGTGAAAACGAAATCGCCAAGGAATGCGACCACATCTGCTACTTCAACTTTGTGCTTCCAAGAGACAAGATTGGCAAGGCGGGTGAGTTTGCGCATCCGGTCACTTTTACAATGAATGCAAATGGAATTCTGCAGGTGAGGGCTGGATTTTACCACGATGACCTGAAGGAAGCGCCAATGTCAAAAACAGCGGTGTTCCTCATGTTAGGATACGCTCTCGCACTCTTCTTCTTGTACGTGTTTCTTCGCATCTACTTCACCGAGGCGAGGGGCGTCACCGCGTGATTCAAGTTGACCAAAGGTCTTAGTGGCTGCGTTGCGATGGACCAGAAAAGTCAACCATTCGTTTGGCATTATTATAACGATAAGGTGGAGTGGAGAGGTTGAAGATGTTAAGGGTGCGTGTCCGCCGGGTGCATGTCTTCCGTTTGTCCTCGGATGCCTTTGACACGTTTTGTCATGTGATTCGTAATTTTTGGTTCATGATCATAAGGTGAAGTTTGATCGGATCAACATGTGCTGTTTCAATTCTTAAACATCAGCCCAGACAAATGCCAGCGCCTTGATACGAGCACCTGAAACGATGAATCAAGCCAAGCAGAACATGCCAAGTTGGGCCCGCGCCGTTGTTACACACATTCTAGCCATGAGCATCAATGTACAAAAAGCCGCATGTGATCCACACCCGCAGAGGCACAACTCAACCAAGGAACGGACATGTAAACAGCCGATAAGTGGACGGTCGTAAGCAACAGACGTCCAGCACGGCACCGAGTATCGATGTTTTATTTTGAACCGAAGCAGGTGCGCGAAATTATGATGACCATGTAGCAAAATACTTGCTCCATTGGCTTGGGGCTTCAGTTCAGTACAGCAAAAAAGGCTGAACAGAACTACTGCCGCACTCGTATCGCACAAGTGGTATCCAACCAGGCGCACTTGTTTCGCAAAAAGCTGCTTATTTGCATCTTGGTTGCGTCGAAACACTTTGAGCTCGAATACCTTAGGGTGGCCGACGATCACCATAACTTAGCAGAGGTTAAGACTTTTATTTTTGTGTATCGTACATAAGGAAAATCAATCAATTAAGTAATAAAAAAGGGAAACAGGGTACCCAAGCCCAACCCCCCCCCATCTCCATTAAGTGCAAGCCAAAATCCATCGCTAAGGCCGTAACGGGGCACCCTTTGTAATGGTAACGGGGTGAACCGTTACCTAACAATTTATAAGAAATCGTTAATAGAATATAACTATAAGAGTTATATATTCTCAGACTATTGTCATAAGGACAATATTCTGCAGCACTTACGAGTAGTTCCTAATTGGTTGATATAGGCCATTATATCAACCAACGAAGACACGCCACGACAGACGCACGCAATGAGTGGTGAGCAGATAGTTGATATGCACATTTGCATTCAGACATAGTTAGATGAGGATAAACAGTGGTTTATTAACAGACATTAACTATGCTAAATACAGTTCTACTTTTTACTTAAACTAGGTACTCTCTTCTCCTTACCGTCTTCCTCTGCACGTACCAGTGTACGTGAAGTTACGAGGCGCGGCCTTATTCTGTCGTCAGAATAAGCAACTTGTACTGTCACCAGTACAAGCTTCAGGGTGCCCCGTTACATCTGGTAGCACTTCGTAGTCCGTCCAAGGACCACGTTCACATCTAACATGAATATGTTAGATGATGAAGATGACCAAAGCTTTCACGCTACGCGTGACGGCTACTCCCATTTGAGCGATGTCGAATGAGATGCGGCTGAACGGATGGGTTGAACCATGGGCATCCGTGCTGTTAGCGTCATGCTAGAGGCTCTCAATAGAGATGCCCAACATGCTACTATCGCCAAGTTCATTCAAAATGAACTTGACGCAGAACGCGAGAAAGTAGCCTTGCTTCACCAACAAGGCTCTCAACAAGCAGAGTTGTTGAGATAACAGGGTGCTCAACAGTTTTAACTGTTGAGACAGCAGCAGGCTGCTGCTGGTGGGTCGATGCACTTGCGTCGACCCGAGACCTTGAAGATTGACATCTCCAAGTATAGGGGAGTCGAAGAGGACTCCCTCTTGAGATGATATATCAAATTAAACGACGCCATAAGGGCGCGTCACATCGACGACGGGGAAATGCAAGTTGCATTCGCCCAATCAAATCTGGCAGGACGTGCCAAGACTTGGGCTTTGGGGCTCAAGTTGCACGACCCATATGCGTTTGAGTCGTTAGAAGTCTTCAAGTCGCGGCTCAGACAAACGTTTGAACCGCCTAGAGCTGAGTTCAGAGCTCGAACCGAACTCTTGAAGCTCAAGCAGGGTAAGCGTGATGTGCACGCTTACGCACAACATATACGACATCTCACGAGTTGTATAGGTTCCAACCCGGTTGATGAACGCACGTTGGTTTCGGTGTTCATGCAGGGTCTTGCGGATGGTCCCGTCAAGACTCACCTGTTCCGACTTGAACTGGATTCACTAGAACAAGCCATTTCCAGTGCGGAACAGGAAGACTTCAGTCTGAGACAGGCTCGCGCCAGCTCGACATCATGTCGTCCACCGAGACGATATGACAGCGGAAGTCCAGAGCCGATGGAACTCTGTTATGTAAAGAGCGAGAAGGCTCGCTCTACAGACTACAAGATGTTGCAGAAATGCAACAGATTTCAAAGGCAGGACACTACGCTTACGAGTATAGTGCCCCTCGTCCAGTGTCTCGCAACACTGGGCGTAATGACCGTCCACCCATGAGAAAGGGGCAGGGACGAGGGTCCGCTGTTGGTGCAAAGACGCAACAACGGGATGGACCGTAAAAAAACGGACAGGATCAGCAGGTGCGGAGCGCCCTACTGGTCCAGCAACGTCAAGAGAATTTGTAGGCCTCTTAATGAAGGTTGCTCCCAACACACAAACGTTGTGCGTTGATGCTCTAGGTAATGAGATCTCACTCATTACCTTAAAACTCGAAGTGACGAATAAGTTGTCCCTTCGAGCTCTAGTCGATTGTGGGGCGTCCAACAATCTTGTGCGACGCCAATCGCTAGAAGATAGTCACTTTAAATTCAGTGAATGTGACACACCTCCTACGAGGATGACGGTACGTCTTGCGACAGGCGCATCCGTAACCGTCATGAAGCGTATAGTGAAGATTCACTCTACGCTGGAAGATACCCAATATGATGATGACTTTATCGTATTGAATTTGGATGAAAAATTTGATGTCATCCTTGGAATACCGTGGCTCAGAAGGTACGAACCACGGGTAAACTGGCAACATCGAACAGTAACGATGCCTGCCGCTTGTTCATCAGATGGCCATCTGATGAACGTTTGGAGCGTCCACAAGCGTGTGGATGTACTACGAGTGAGTGTGATGGCCTCACTTGTAGTACGGTCGTTAGTACGACTGCACAAAACCTTAGTGTAACAAACAGTTACACTTCGGAGCAAGATTACGGCGGCTATGAGGAAGCACAGGCTGCGCCGAAGGTCCACCACTCGAATAAGTCGAGTGGACCGGGACAAAGATGTATCCCTAGCGGGGAACATCTAGAAGAAAAACAATCAATCGCTCAGGTTAAGCGAAACGATAATCCTAGATCGACTGGAGTCTTTTGTAGAGGATCTCGCTGTGGTTGCGCAACCACAGCTAGGGGAAGTTAAGGGAATAAGTCACGATATTACAAATACGGTAGAAATAAGTTCCCCGAAATCCGAGGGAATAAGTCCCCGGGAAGCCGAAGGAATAAGTCCTTCGAGGCCTGAGGGAATAAGTCCCCGGGAAGCCGAAGGAATAAGTCCTTCGAGGCCTGAGGGAATAAGTCCCCAGGAAATGACAGAGACATTGAATGTCATAGTCAATAACGGATCAAGTGTAGGCGCTTATACACTTGATCTGATTGCGCCTCCGAAGTTGACTTCGGAGATCACTCAGTTGCCAACGCTCGAACATAAAAGGTTCTTGCGTGATCTGCGTAGTGGCAAAGTCAAGCAGATCTGCGTACTCGTCGCTGACGACGAGTGTGTAGCCGACATAAGGTCAGCAACAGTGTTTACTGAGAACGAGAGAGTTCTCAGTAGTTCATCGATGGACTAGAGTGTCCTAGTTGAAAAGACACGTATTGAGCGATATGACTCCCAATCGTGGGAATCGCTCAAGACAAATCCTCTCTATAAAGATTTGGTTGAATTCAAGGATGTATTCCCTGAAATTGTTCCGTGCGAATTACCGAAGGATAAAGGTATTCGACACGAGGTCGAGCTTAAATCAGGCTCGAAGTACTGTGTTATGAAGCAGTGGCCACTGCCTCGTGAACAAGTACTTGCTATCGATAAGTTCTTTGCCGATCATTTAGCTGCGGGCCATGTGAGGGAATTAACTTCCCCACATAGCTCTCCGACCTTCTGTGTGCGAAAAGCAACAGGAGGGTGGCGGATAGTGCATGCATTTAACAAGTTGAATGCTGCAACGGTACCGGCTCAGACGCCGATACCGAGGAAGGACGTAATTATTGATGGTATGTCAAAGAGTACCATCTTTCCGTCCATGGATTTGATGGATGTCTTCTATCAAATCCTTATGCGAGAACGGGATATACCCTATACCGCAGTTAGCACGCCTAGCGGCATGCTCTGGGAATGGCTAGTAATGCCACAAGGGCTTAGTAATGCCCCTGCCACGTTCAACAGATGTGTATCACATCTGTTGAGACCAGTACAAGAATTCGCGCCGAGTTATTTCGATGACGTCTTCATCCATAGTCGGGCTATAGATGGAAAGACGGACGTTGAGGTTCACAGATACCACGTCCGACAGGTTCTTACAATCATGCGAAAGCATCAATTGTATGCAAACCTCAAGAAGTGTATATTTGCAGCAAGCGAAATACCACTTCTTGGGTGCATCTTTGGTAAGAACGGTGTACGTCCTGATCCCAAAAAGATCAAGGCGATCATCGACTGGCCTGTGCCGGTGGATGTCAAAGGTCTTCGAAAATTCCTTGGGCTAGCGGCGTATTTGCACAAGTATTCACGCAGTTACGCCGAGATGACTGTACACCTCTCTCGTTTGTTGAAAAAGAACGAGGGGTGGTTATGGAACGCTGAATGTCAGCGCTCCTTTGATGGTATCAAGCAGAGCTTGATACAATCCCCAGTCCTAGCAATAGCCGATCAAGACAGGACAGTTAATGTGGTCTGTGATGCCAGCGATTTCGCAATCGGCTGTGCATTAATGCAGTACGATCTTGAAGGCGTTGAACGCGTCGTCTGCTATCAGTCGCGTCAGCTGCAACCAGCTGAGCGGAACTATCCAGTGCATGACAAGGAACTCCTTGCCATGAAGTATGCACTCGCGAAGTTCAGAGTCTATCTATTAGGAGATAGACCCTTCATTGTTTACACTGACTATGCGTCATTACGCACGGCAGTGAACAACCCGCACCTTTCACAACGAATGGCGCGGTGGTTGTCATTCTTTGCGGAATACAACTTTACGGTCGAGTACAAACCAGGACGACTTAATGTCGTCGCTGATGCACTCTCACGTCGGCTTGTGTCGAAATTTTTTTTTAACTAAATTGGGAATTTCGAATATTCATTATGAATCTTTTTTAAATAATCAATAAAAATAAAACCATATAATAAACTTATTAATATATTAATATTTTCTATAAAATTATTATTAGATAAAATTAAAAAAATATGATTAAATTTCAATGAACCTGTAATGGCATAAATTATAGATGAACCGTATAGAATAAAACCTGAAGTAATTGATCCTAAAATAAAATATTTTAAACCAGCTTCAATCGATAAAATAGATTTTTTTTTTTGAATTGAAAAACAAATAATTGTTGATAAAATTAAAATAACTTTAATAAAGTGTAACTCTGGTTTTAGGGGGGGAGGGGAGACTCGCGCGAACAAATAACGATTTGGTTCACGCTCATCACGCTCTAAAGATGAGGTCATTGCGTTTGATGCCGATATCGACAACATCGAGATTGAAGAAGATGATGCCAGTGAGGAAGCCCTCACTGAAGAAAAGTTGATGTCGCTGCAGTGCACTCACAGCGCACTGAAGCTAACGAGTCATCAGATGAGTTCATACTAGCTCGTGAAACGGTAGTCCGTTTTGTGAAAGACTCTATCGCCGAAGCGGTGGATAAGCAAAAGCAAAACGCAGACAATAATGGAAGGGCAAACACTCTTTTATTTAATAAAGGTGACTTAGTCCTATTGTCTACGGTTGACCTACCAAAGCACGCAGTGACTAACGTGGGTAGTAGTAAACTACTACCCAAGTACATCGGTCAATTTCGTGTATTGCATCGCCTAGGCAACGCATACACGATCGAATTGCCACGTAAGATGCGAACGCATCCCTTGTTTTAAGTTGGTCGGCTTAAGCCGTACCATCAGTACGCTGCTTCTTCCGATGAAGAACACCCTCGCGCTCAAGCATCTCACAGAGAGCCTTGTGCTCCCGATGGTGGATATCAACAAGGGTCTACAGAGCAGTTATCTCAGCCCGATACCGGTCAATATCCACACGAGCTACCCTTAGCTCGTTACGCAGAGATGTCAAAGCTATCTCGTTCTCAAGCTGAGTAAAAGCATACTCAGCTCGATGCTTCAAGACAGTGTCCGCCAGTTGAAGACGCCTGTCCCGCCCATGCTCGAGATCGTCGCGTAACGCAAGAGTTACGTGATCAAAGAAGCTCTCGGAGACACACGCTCCCCTACGATAGCTCGGAGAGCGTCTTCCCTCCTCCTCCACCTCCTTTGGAGGACTCTCGCGGTGGCCAGCGCTATCTGGTTGAGCAGCTGTTGAACCACCGCGATGTGAACGGACGTCGGACGAGTTATCTCGTCCGGTGGTGCGGTTATCCCCCGTCCTGGGATACTTGGGAGCCCCGATCCCAACTGATGATTGACGTACTGGGTCTGGTCAAGCAGTACGACGCGGCACATCCTGTGCCGCAGAAGGACCGCTGGAGAAAGTCTTCCCGGCGCGGTCGTAAAGGGATTTCAGGTTGTCAATCCCTTCGTACATCTCAGTAGAGCTACGTACGCACCACCACGGGCTAGTAAGGAGGTAATCCTCCTTAGGTTCGCGCGCTGGGTTGTTTACACAACATGGGCACGAGTCTCCCCAAGAGAGGCAGGGTAACCCACCCTCCTTAGACAGGCGATGCAGATTATAGCGTGCACCCTTCGGGGTTCTCTTCTCAACCTCGACACGAGCTTCGATAAGCTTGTCGTTCCAAACGTCACGACCTACATCCTCAAGGTTTTGAATGCAATCGTTCCACGCTTGAAGCAGTGAGGCACCATCACATTTGCGATTCCCAATTTACCATCGATTTTTAAAGAAAGCATCGATGAAGAACTCATGTTCATCGTAATAGTCTTTCGCACTGGTGTCAAGGTGATGGATCCTTGACGAATCGAATAATCGTGTTCGATAGCGATCACTTGTCGTCACCGACAAGCGATCCATGACTGACTTTGGAGGCAGCTATGCCTTCTTTTCGGGAGCGAGACGCAACACGTTGCGGTCTCGCTCTTCTTGCGACGTGCCGACAGAAGTGCTGGTACCTCGCTGCAAAGTGGTGTCAATAAGAGGACCGACATCACCGTGAGCGCCCGAGTCCTGCGATCTCGAGCGCCTTCGCTTTGGCGATGTTTCACCTGATTCGTCAGATGATTTGAAGATGCTACAACGCATAGCATCATCCGTGCCACGCTTGGCAGACGGCTTGGTTTCAACCGCCTTCGATACAGATCCCTCTTCCGTATCAGGAGAGTATGAGACATCACAGCTCATACTCTGGGAAGATATGAGTGTCTTCGTGACGAGCGTCTGCATCACCAGGTGATACAGACTGAGACGCTTTAGCAACCGATGAGACATCAGTTGCAGCGGTTTATGCTTTGGCGTCCGCACAGAGACGTGCAGACGCGCTCTCAGCGGCCTTGTTCGCGCACCGCATGGACTTGTTTACCATGCGATGAAAGTGATGGACTGTGGACTCGGACCAACAAGTGCAAACCCTGTCCCAAATGATTTGGGACGAGTATCCATTTAGTCAATCAGTCACTAAAGTGACTAATGGTTAAGGGGGGGTGATGTAACGGGGTGAATCGTTACATAACAATTTATAAGAAATTGTTAATAGAATATAACTATAAGAGTTATATATTCTCAGACTATTGCCATAAGGACAATATTCTGCAGCACTTACGAGTAGTTCCTAATTGGTTGATATAGGCCATTATATCAACCAACGAAGACGCGCCACGACAGACGCACACAATGAGTGGTGAGCAGATAGTTGATTTACACATTTGTATTCAGACAAAGGTAGATGAGGATAAACAGTGGTTTATTAACAGACATTAACTATGCTAAATACAGTTCTACTTTTTACTTAAACTAAGTACTCGCTTCTTCTTACCGTCTTCCTCTGCACGTACCAGTGTACGTGAAGTACGCGGCACCGCCTCATTCTGTCATCAGAATAAGTAGCTTGTACTGTCATCAGTACAAGCTTCAGGGTGCCTCGTTACACCCTTTGTTTAGGGTGCAACGAAGCTTCACGTACACTGGTACGTGCAGAGAAAGCTAATCTACTCAAACAGCCACTTTGAGTAAAGGGTAAAAAGATAACTGTATTGAGTATAGTTAAGCGATTAATATAACTTTAATCTTTTTCTAACTATATTAAACTACGTCTTCGTATGACGACAACATGCTCACCACTCATTGCGCGCGTCTAGCAGCGATTGGTGGTAACGTTGGTTGGTGTGTCTTATATCACCCAATTTTTGAAGTAGCGCATGCATAATATCCTAAAAGGGGATTGTATTCCTTCAATATTATCCATCTTAGATAACATTGATAGGGAATTGCCACGCTAGGCAATCTCCCTATTGACACCGTTTGTTGTCGATATCATGTAACGGGCTACCCCGTTACAAAGGCTCTCACTGCTTGAACAGAACATAAGGCTTAGGCTCCTTGCTAGATTGCTACCTTCATAATAGTATGAGACGTACCCATAGCTTCATTTTTCTGGTCTAACAATAATTACACAGGGAAAGCCACATGTATGCATTTTTTAGCTGTGTCTTGCCTGTTGATGTGATATCTGAGCAGTAAAAATGTTACAGATCCGTCTTACCAATGGACGACGTCTGCACGTATGCAAACATAAGGATGAGAGCCCAGATTTGTCTCAAACGGCACTGGCGAAATGGTCTACGGTGATGTTCGGCCTTGTCAAAACGCTGTCACAGGCATCAATCAGCAAGACCTTTCGAAGCGGTCTAATTTGGAGATTATGGATCCAAGCAGCCTTAATGCAAAGCGACAGCGATTGGTTCAACATCCTGTACTGGAAGAAGCTGCGTAGATTTGGTTCCTGCAATGTCATCACCGCTGAGCGATATCACCGGGGATAATCATCTGTGCGAAGTCTCATTGGCTTGCTCAATTGCTTGGTACTACTGACGACGCCATTACTTTCTCGCACGAATGGCTTCATAAATTTCAGCAACGTCGCATACTCCGCGCTATCAACATCTACGGTGAAAGTGGCTCGGTGGACGTGGAGGCTATAAATAAAGTTATATTTAATGTAAATAAGGTCATCGCAGAGTACGCGATGTGTGGTGTTTGCAACGTGGATAAAACCAGTAAATTTCGTTTGTTATATTTTTAATTGAAACCGATTCTGACAAAATTATATTGTAAAATTATACTACAGCATGACACCTGATAGGACTATTGCATAGCATGAAGTTAAGGACACAAAAAGACAAGGTGAGTATATTGCAGAATGCTTGTTGCAACATACTAACATAGGGGCATGCACTGAAATCCTGTGCAATCGCGGATTATAACTGCGCCCACTGCAGATGCTGATGGCTCTAACAAGCTGCAGCCTTTCTTTATCATAAATCCAAGAAGCCCCGCTGCTTTTACAAGACATCAAGGCAAGCACATGGATTCCTCTATCGCAACAACACAAAGGCTTGGATGACGGGCCTGTTTTTCCTGGAATGGCTTGCAGTTCCAGACAAAACAATGAAGGTGCGTAGCCATTTGAAATTCGAGAACTTATAAATCGAATATTGTATCGCTTCAGAACAAAATTCGAAATATCTTTCTTTTACTTGAAACTTCTCCGTTGAAGATGAAGAATGACCTTACATTGACTAACGTCAAGGTCCAGCTGCTTCCACCACGTATGACCTTTCAATTTGGTTTAAAAACGCGAATTTATCGCTTAAAGACTAAAGATGGTATGTGAAGAGGCTACTTGTCGTAGAAATTTCGTTACGTTGTGTCTTAGACACACGGGATGGTATCCCGCTAAAAAGACATAGGACGTCTTTTCAATTTATAGAGGCTGACGGGTGCCCGCCACAAAATAGGAGAGATCTTGGATATGTCCACTTAGGACATTAGTACCTAAATTAAGTAATAGTAGGAGCTAGATATTCTATAGAGATCGACGCAAATAACGTTCATTTTTCCTTTTGATCTTGTCTAAGACACGTGCCTTGCGAGGTGTCTCCGATCGTAGATAGTTAAGAGTTAGCAACCATCCCTAAGGTAGCTACACTAAAGCAGTAAGTGCTGTAGATCCACTGAATCGTTCGATCCCCTGGAACAGGAACCTTAAGCTGTACGCTTATTGACGCACATAGTCTAGCTCTTTAGAACTTACATTGCTCGTTGAGCACTAAGTGTTCCTCTGACTTAAGTAGCTGCGTAGCTCCGCTACATGATACGCTATCAGCCCATACAAATCTTTCTTAAAAATAGCTGCGTGACTTCGACATCTTGTTATCGCAGTGTCATCGAGAGGCTACGACTGGGAACACACCTCATTTTTCTACGGGCACACCCGCCTGCCTGTATATGTGGCATCCTTCCATTCTTAATAATGTAGAATGAGTTTCATGTACAGTACAGTAAATTTGTATGTAGATGCACCCAACCGGATTGCCAGAGTTTTGTGTTGAAACAAGTATCCAACAACGTAACGACGCTACCGATTCACCAACACGGGGCATTTATTCAGCATCTCCAAGGCCTACCCCAGCAGATGCCCTGTCCGATCAAGAAGGCAAAAGTTTAATGACGAAGAGCCGCCTAAGCACTTGGACAAAATGAAGTCTGTCAGGGTTTGAGTACGTAAAACTACTGCAGAATCGAAAGAAAGCGGAAAATTGCAGCGCATGCGGTGCTGTCTGTCATCGTAAAACCTCGAATATTGTCCAGCTCAAGACGCACTTTCCGCACTTTTTCCAAACATCGAGTAAAAATCGATGGGACGAGACAAGGAATCCCCGTATATATATTTTGGTCCACAGAGTTCCTCAAAATGCTCTAATTACTCTTTCTTTTCCTTTCGAATTTCAATATACGGGTGGAATTCGATGTTGGCACCTGCAGCGGATGTAAGCTTGTTCATGACACCCACGGTTTTCATCCATCAGCCAGGCGCATTCGTCGGAGGTGTACTTATGCGTCGCAATTATCGAGGTGACGGAGATCGAAATGGCAATCGATGAAGTTGATGATACTGTTTAGAAGTGTTTCTGTGGATGTTGTTCAGACTCTTCAATCATACTGTAATTGTTCGTGTTCTTTTCTACTTATTTTGAAAAGCGGGTGTGTCCGTAGAAAAAATGGGGTGTGCACCTAGCCTTGGCCAAATGGAGACAAAAAGGACGACATTCGCATTAGAAATCTGCTAAGCGCTTTAAGCATACACTCATTGACCTAAAAGTCTTCGGCGTTGGGGCCTCCACCCACTCACTCTTAATATCGAAAAAATGATGGGCACGATGGAGAATAGATAAAATAATGAGCAGCTTGTGAGATCATGAATAGATAGATGCTAAAAGTTTAGCATTGTGGCGTAATGGGCATCCATTTCTTGACGCCCCCAACTTTCCGCTGGTGCATATTTAAACTCCTGTTAGAGGGGATACTCCGTGTCGGTGCATTTTTACTTTCTCGCCTTGTGTATCCATTGGTAGGCGAGCTGAACTCTTCCAGGTGGACTCGTGTCGAGGAGAACTCGACCATGTTTTTAATGGGGTTTGGGGTGACAGTGAGAAGATCTTTGCATGATCACGGGTATACTTGCAGGGTACTTACTATGGGTTGCTTCACTTTTGACAAACCCGCCTTGTACATTGTGTAAAACTTGGTCCGCTTGACCTTGTGACCACTTAAGCCATTTTCGCGATCTTACACCTCGCCTTCCAACGTCCAATATCAGTTTAAGGTTCCTTTTGAGCTTTTGATTTACGAAGAAACATGTTAGGCTTATTTTACTTCCGTAAGGTATGAATATTCTACTGTCGTCGATAGACCAACTATACAGCTCGTAAGAGGAGTCGACACGTGCCTTCGACAAAAATGAACTCTGTGATGCTAATTAAACTAAGTGCTTGTCCATAGATCTTGACTAACTATCTGTAAAGTTCTGCTGCCACGTGTCATCCTTGTTTCAGCAAACATATCTTCGTCTTGTAGTTCAATTTATTACATGTTATCAGAATTTCGATCGATGGTCCTTGATTATGACCGCACTGATCTGATCGAGTAACTTCATTATGGTTGTAGCACCTTTGCATGGATCGAGTACCCGTCAATATTAAAAACACCCTTTCGATAGTGGCCACACATTCATGATCGTAATCTATGGTCCTGGATTGGGGCCAAGAACTCTTGATCCTGATCACATTCAAATCAATCGTGCTCGATTGTCTTCAATCGGGATCAATTACCGTCCGATCTGGTTAGAAGAGGTGCATCGATCTCACCCACGTACCCCTCGAGATCTATCGCACATTCTTTACCGAGATCATAGTTTCGTGATCGTGATCGTG